AGATGGTGACTTCAGCCGTGAAATTAAAAGACACTTGCTCCTTGGAAGAAAAGTTATGACCAACCTATACAGCATATTAAAAAGCAGAGACATTACTTTGGCAACAAAGGTCCATCCATCTAGTCAAAGCTCTGGTTTTTCCAGTAGTCATGTATGAATGTGAGAGTTGGACTATAAAGAAAGCTGAGCACTAAAGAATTGATGCTTTTGAACTGCAGTGTTGGAGAAGATTCTTGAGAGCCCCTTGGACTGCAAGGAGATCCAACCAGTCAATCCTAAAGCAAATCAGTCCTGAATATTCATTGGAAGGATTGATGCTGAAACTCCAATACTTTGGCCACCTGATGGGAAGAGCTGTCTCATTTGAAAAGACCCTGAGGCTGGAAAAGATTGAAGGTGGGAGGAGAAGGGGATGACAGAGGATAAGATGGTTGGATGGCATCACCAATGCAATGGACATGAGTTTGAGTAAACTCTGGAATTTAGTGATGGACAGGGAGGCCTGGCGTGCTGCAGTCCATGGTGTCGCAAAGAGTTAGACATGACTGAGCGACCGAACTGAACCGTACTGAGTAGCCCCACCTTATATAGAGTAGAGGCTAAATCTTTAAGACACCTAGCATGCTATTTTAATAAAAACACAATTAAAAATATAAACCTATTGTTTGCATACATAACATCACTAAGATTTTTGTATCTCCTATCATCAGAAATCGCTTCCTGAATTCTAACTACTACTGTGGCCCAAAGTCAGGTGGCCCACAGGAAAGAAGGAGATATATAGGGAAAGCCATGGTCAGAAAAGGACAGGAAACTCAAGGGGTGTGTGGAAAGGAGAAGAAAGACATGGAGAGGGAGGAAAGCAGTCACACGATTGACAGGAGTTTCCTCAACTTTTTGCTCCTGTCTGCCCACACCCTAGCACAAGTCAACATGCCAGTGAGATCCCGAGGGCAAAGCCAAAAGCAGAGAGACGATTTTCCCCATGCTACATTTGTAGCCTTAGAAAAGGGACTACCCTGGGACCTCCCTGTCAGTCCAGTGTCTAAAACTTTGCCTTCCAGTGCAGGGGGTGCAGGTTCAATTCCTGGTTGGGGAGCTAAGATCCCACATGCCTTGCAGGCAAAAACTAAAACATAACAGTAGAAGCAATATTGCAACAAAGTCAATAAAAACTTTAAAAAAAATGGCCCACATCAAAAATACCTTTAAAGGAAAGAAAAGGGACTACCTCTTCAGTGTCCTCAGCACCCCTTTTCTGGCAGTGGCCACTTAGCAGAGTTAAGCTCAAAGTCCGAGTTAATGCCCCTGGGCTGTGTTTGGCTTCCGCGTAGCATGGGAAAGACTCAGAAGGACCTGCAAAGTAGTAGAGAATTGGACCAGGAAACTTCCTGGAGGAAGTTGCTACAACAAGAACAAAGTGACCTCATCACCAGAAAGACCCAGGAGTTTGTGAAACTCAGCTAGGACCCCTCAGCAGAAGGGGACCAGTGAGCCCAGGGAAACGGTCCGCAGCAGAGGCCATTAATGGAAGAGTGGCCAGTGAAACAAGGGACAGCATCAAGGCACAGGTGATTAGGGAGCCAGAAGGTAACACAAGGACATCCACAGAGCCACGAAAAGGACAGTCACACAGAGGGAAGAAGTCTGAACATTGATCTACAAGCAACAGCCTTTTCAATCACTTAATAGAAAAGAATTCATAACAATTTTTAAAAAAAAATCCACAATTAAAATAACTCATGCTCCACACACAAAGGTGATTCAGTGGTAAAGTATCCATCTGCAAATGCAAGAGCCGCAGGAGATGTATGCTTGATCCCTGGGTCGAAAGATCCCCTAAAGTAGGCACCCCACTCCAGTATTCTTGCCTCGAGAATCACATGGACAGAGGAGTCTGGCAGGCTACAGTCCTTGGGGTCACAAAGCGTCAGACACAACTGAGCACACATGCAGTGCCAATGCCACACACAAAGAGAGACACCACACTAAACACAATATTGAGTTAAACCAAAAGCCACAGAGAACTCACTCCTGGCAGTTTAAGGCTTTCTCTGTAGCACAGAAGGGTTCATGACACTGATTAGATCTGTTTCAGGAAGTAAAGTGTTGAGGAACCAAATTACTTTTTCTTTGCACATTTCAGTCATGGTATGAGTAAACACACAGGTCAACTACAATATGATTACAAAGATACAATGCTGACGGCATTGTGCATTAAGCATGCGTGTTCAGTCATTTCCAACTCTCTGTGATCTGGCCTGTAGCCGGATCTGGTTGACTGCAGCCAGCCTGGTTCCCCTGTCCATGGAATTTTCTAGGCAAGAAGAGTGGAGTAGGTTGCCATTCCCTCCCCCAGGGGATCTTCCCAACCCAGGGATCAAACTCCTGTCTCTTGCATCTCCTGCATTGGCAGGCCGATTGTTTACCACAGCACCTCCTGGGAAGGCTTGCGGAGGGCATGACTGTCCATAAAACAAAGAGAGCCCCCTGGGATTTTCCTTCTATCAGCTGATATCATGTCTTCAGACAACTAAGTCAAAGCCAAAAAATAAATACATCCTCACTATTTTCCTACAGTGTCACTTTAAGTTAGAAAAATTTATTCTCAGTTCTGTGGTCTTAACATACCTAGAAATGAGACTTTACCATAGAAAATATTTTCTTTGAGATAACATTCCAGAGAACCAGTCCTTCACTTGGGTGCCACCAAATCTGATCATTATATAAACTTTATTTTTGTTTCTAGTCAAAGTGATTTATATAAAATAAAATGTTGAGTTAAAGGGATTATGATGCAATAGACAGGACTTCAGGGGAAAAAATTTGGAATAGAATAGTTACCATTCAGTCATGACTAGAGGAAGAGTGTGTGTTTGCTAAGATAGGTGAAAATTTTGCAATAAATGTACCTGGGACAGGATATTGTTTTACTCAAATTGTGACATAGAGTTAAAGGTAAAAACAGGTACAAAGAAAGAAACTATATATATTTTTATACACCATTTGCAGTAGCAACAAAAATATAAGGGATTTAGGAATAAAATTTTAAAACTTTATTGAAAGGAATTAAAAACCTGAATAAATCAAAAGATAAACCATGTCCATATGTAGAATCAGTTTTGTCAAGATGCTCGTTTTTTCCCATATTAATTGGATACTTCAATGCTATTCCAATCAAATTCTCAACAGAGTTTTTCATGGAACATCACAAGCTGATTTTAAACTTGTATGGATATGCAAAAATCAAGAAGAGTCAAGGCAGTTTTGAAGAAAAACAGATGGCAAGACTCATAAAACTGTAATAATTTTTAAAAGGTGTGATAATGGTGCTAGAACAGACAAATAGATCAATAATTCAGAATAAAGATCTCATGCTGCTGCTGCTGCTAAGTCTCATAAACATATCCAAATATATGGATACTTGATATATGGCATTCTGATCAGCAAGGAAAGAATAGACTACTCAACATACAGTACTGGGTTAATTGTTATTCGAATTGGAGGAAAATGAATTGAATTGTTACATAACAATATACAAAAAATCAATTCCAGATACACTGAAATCCTAAATGTGAAAGGCAAATTTTTAATTCTCTGGAATAAATTGTGAGAATATATTTATAATGTCAAGATAGAGTAGAATTTCTGGAACTAGACATACGAAAAGATAGGGGAGAGACAAAGAGAAGCTTAAAGAAAAAGGTTGAAATATTTGACCACATTAAAATTTTATATTTCTGTGATTCAAAAGTTACTTTAAAAAAGTGAAAAGACATGTCACAGCCTAGAATAATGTATTTGCAATGAATATAACTGACAAAACACTGATATGCAGAATATATAAAGAATTCCAATGTTGATAAGATAAACAACCTAGTAGAAAAATGGACAAATGCATTATTAATAAATAGATATGTCAGAGAAAAGGACACTCATAGTTCCAGTAAATATATAAGATATGCTCTATCTCACTAGTAATCAGGGAAAAGTATATTAAAACCATATTAAGGTACTTTTTGGGCTTCCCAAGTGGCGCTAGTGGTAAAGAACCTGCCTACCAATGCAGGAGACATAAGACATCCAGGTTTAATCCCTGGGTTGGGAAGATTCCCTGTAAGAGGGCATGGAAACATACTCCAGTATTCTTGCCTGGAGAATCCCATGGACAGAGGAGCCTGGTGGGATAAAATCCATCGGGTCACAAGGAGTCAGACATAACTGAAGTGATTTAGCACACATGAAAGATACTTTTCATCCATTATATTACCAAAACCAAAAAATCTGACAAATCAATAGATGACAAGAATGTAGAGAAGCATGATGTCTCATTTTCTGCTAGTAAGAGTACAAACTGAAATGACAACTTTGGAGATCAATTTGACAATACCTTGTCAAATCAAAGATGCACATACACTCAGCATTTAACTCCTGTATATCACAGAGAAACTATAGGAGTATATAATGGAGACAGATAAGAGTCTTCATAACAATATTACAAGAGCAATAATTTGGAACGATATAGATGTGCATTAACAGGAGAATAAATGAATAAATTATAGTATATTTACATGCTATATTAATACAGCAGTAAAAATCCTCATGCAAAGAGTTGACTCATTGGAAAAGACCCTGATGCTGGGAGGGATTGGGGGCAGGAGAAGTGGATGACAGAGGATGAGATGGCTGGATGGCATCACCGACTCAATGGGCATGAGTTTGAGTAAACTCTGGGAGTTTGTGATGGACAGGGAGGCCTGGCGTGCTGCGATTCATGGGGTCGCAAAGAGTCAGACACGACTGAATGACTGAACTGAACTGAACTGAAAAATGAATTATCAGCTATATAACAGATAAATCTTAAACAAATATCACTGTGAAAAGAGCAAGTTACAAAAGCTATGTACAAAGCTTAATAACCTAAAATAATAATATATGAGTATACTTTAAATCGGTGAATTGGATGGGATGTGAATTGTATCTCTTCGTAAAACTGCTTTTAAGAGAGCAAATATGTATGTGTGTGTGTATATATATATGACAGAAAGACAAACAGATATGAAAATAATAAACACCAAAAATCAGGATAGTGTCTGTGGTACTTTGGTACTCCAAGATAGGATTAGATGTCAGGAAACTTTTAGGGAAAACGGCTGTGAAGGATGAAGGAGAAGAAGCAGGAGTATCAGGAAAACCCTTCATACTCCAAGGCAAGACTGGTACCTGCGAAAGGAGGCATGAAATGAAGAAGGAGCGGGTGAGAGAGACTCACCTGCACCAGGGACCTAAGAATGTCATGGCAAGGCCGATGAGGAGTCCTTAAGTCAGTCACCTTTCATGGAAGTTTTGCAACAAAGAGAAAACAGGCCTGAATCTGCGTCCCCACCATGTACAGTCATTACTGGGAGCACCTCAGGGGAATTAATACGGTGGTAAATTCAGAAGAGAATCATCTAGGACCATCATCAACTGTGTTTCCCGCAGCAGAGGATATGAGCATCCCAGTTTTCCTGGTGCCACATGAGCTGCCTCTGGGTTCAGGAGTGGGGACTGTGATCCAGGAGAGAGAGAAGAAAAGCTCTAAGTGTGTTGGTAACATTTTACTTCTGAAGCTGAGCAGTGGGGGTGTAGATGCTCACGATATTAGTTTCTTTAATTTGGGGAGCAGGGATGAGGTAGGAAAAACAGGAGGTTAAGAAGCTGATACACTGGATTTACACAAGGCTGCTCTAGAAATTTGCTATAGTGTGAAGTAACAGGCCAACAGGATTAGTGGATAAAAATATTACAGTCTTCTTGATGCTAATCCAACTTATAGGGAAATTTGGAAGATTTAAAAAAGAGGGAAAGTTGCAGGGGAAAATGTCCCTATGTGCTGGTTGGGGCCGAAAGGGAGGAGTTAGCTTTACCTAGGAGCACAATAAGTTTATTCACCCTTGAAAAGAAAAGACTGAATTTATGGTAAAGCTGAAAGTAGAAGAGATTTTGTGGTGGGTAGGCAAGGAAATTCTCTAATGACTGCTTTCATTTTCTCAGTAAAATGAGAAGTGAGCTGATCAGTTGTGAGTGAGGAAGAGGAAAGTGGTTTAAGAGGTTTGAGGACAGTGAAGTTGCCAAGGAGTCCCAAGGGCTCACTTGAGGTTTGTGGTCAGAGATTCAAAATGATACCAGTCAGCAGGGCTGTGTGCTTTCTACCAGCCATAAACTGTTGCTCATGCAGTTGGCTCAAAGAATGGAATGTTAGATTTAACCAAAGCAAGGTTTTGCCAGTAAAGTACAATGAAGAGAGAGAGGTGGAGGGCTTTGAAACTGCAGGGAAAGACACTGTATATGATGGACTATATACAGTGAGTGTA